TTAAATTCACTAGATACAGATTTTTATGTGGATCTGCACCAAATTGCACACACGCAGAAATATCATTCATCTAAAAATGTCAGATTTTTCTTTTCTTTCAAGATACTAATACTGAAGAATTTATCAGAATGCCATATGGGTGTTTATGAAATGCAGAGGTTATGAAATTAAAAAAATAATAATGTGTAAAATATTTTCAGAAACAAAGTCTATGCATAAACCTCTGCTGATGCAATCTTGTGCAGTATTCTTCTGTTCATTAAATAAATTAATGGAATCATCTCCACACCTCAGTGAAGTTATTTCTATTAGCATCACAACAGTACAGTGTCTTCAATCTTTCAAATTGAATGTCACAGTTTCTTCGTTGTTTTGGATTAAAACACATTAAACAAGACGAGAGTGGAATAGAAGGCCTGCAGGTGACTAATATACCTGATGTGAGTAAAGACACTGCAGGGATGAGGTATTGATTTTTTTGTCCGAATCTGAGCCATTGGAAGGAAACACAATATGAACAAATCTAATTGAAAATAAACAGAGCATTTGTGTCAGTGACACCTATTTGTTTCAGAAGCGTGGGCATCATACATCATCCTCGGACATCAAAGTCAGAGCCCCTCGACCCAGTTTTACCCTCAGCTACTGGAAGTGATATTTTGATGAAAGGTCAACTCAAGACCTGAGAAGCTCGTTCAAACTTTTCCTCTTATCCTCTGACTGTTGTAAAATCTGACTAAGCTCAGATAAATCTGGTAACAACACCAACAAAATGGGAAACAAGGGACAAGTGTCTTTAACACTGCATTCTCTATAAAGCAAAGCAAATCAGTTCATTAATCAGTTAGGCAATAAACAAATAAATCACCAACTGATTTGATACTCAATTCATCATTTTAGTCAGTTTTGAAGATTATCTCTGGTTCCTTTCTCTCCAGCTGTAGGATTTGCTGCTTCTCTTTCTTATACGACAATTAAATGAATTTGGTTGGGTTTTATGTTGTTGATTGGACAAAACAAGGCAGCAGAGGACGTCATGTTTGAGATTTTAAAGAACCAAACAATTCATTGAGATTAGTCAGAAATGCTGCCCAATCATCATGTTTGTGAGCTCACGACAGTTTCAGGATTTAGTATTATTCATAAGGTATTTAGGGCATTTAGGGCTGAACTGGGATATTTTTGAACTGTAAATTGTTCTTTAGACTCAGTCACTTTTCTCATCTGCTTAAACTGAATGTAACATTAAGTCAAATAAAAATATTTATTTAGGCATTCAGCTCAAATTCATTTATATTGTTTTTACAGGCATACACCTTTATGAGTTAAATTATAGTGTTAAAAAACTTTATTTAACATTATCAAATTTCATTTAGTTTCTCATCAAAGTCTAGAATACATATTCTATTCTTAAAACTCTGACATTGGTTGGTATTATGTTGATTGAGTGTTAGCGGTATATTCTACTGACATAAATGATTTGAACGATGACCAGCCAACAGACTGTCCTCTACATTAGTCCACAAACATGACAGAAAATGAGTAACACAATTACAATGTTCCACATTATCAGGCCCTGATTGGAGGACTTACTAGTTAGATAGCAAAGAGTGTAGTTGTCAACTTTACAAAGCATCTAGATCTACAGAAAGAACACATGTAGCTCTTAGTTTTCTGCTTAATTCAAATGAACTAAAAACACACAATAACACCGTTGATCTCAGACCCACGTTCCTGCAAACATAACATGCTGCTTAGCAGGACCTCAGCAGTGTCGGTCCCTCTCACGTCATGTTTTGTAATGACAACAAAACTCACAACCAGGAACTGTGGCTCAGCTTCAGCCACATCTACACAACAGCTTCAACACAACAACTTACACACAACAACTTCAACACAACAGCTTCAACACAACAGCTTCAACACAACAGCTTCAACACAACAACTTACACACAACAGCTTCTCAACAACCTGAGAGATAGCACAACTCATACAACAGGTGCACAGTCGATGCTGCTAACACAACGCAGGGTGTCAGTGTGTGTTTGTAGCAGGGGACACAATCAGACATGGACACAATCAGACATGGACACAATCAGACATGGACACAAACAATGTAAAAGAACTCACCGGTCGCTGGTTCAGTTTCCTGTTGAGGCAGAAATCCACAAAAAATCCTCTCCGTCTCCGTTACCGTGGAAAACATCACGGAAACGTTTCCTCCGCCAGAAAAAGTTCAACACAAGTCACCACTTCCTCACCTCTGAACTCGCTTCTGAATCCAGGTGTTAGAATAAGTCTTCATATTGTGATTTTACTGTTCGTCGTTGTAAACAAAGTTTAAATCTCAGTTTTACTCTCAGTAAACTCACAGCTGGAGCTAATGCTGCTGATTGGCTCTGCTTTACGTCACTGTCGCGGTTCGACATCAGGGCCGGGAGAGCAGCATGCTTTACGGCAGAGCCCTGGAAGCTACCTGAGTGCAGACAGACTTTACACAGGAGGTTAAACACGTCTCCTCAAATACCTGTTGAAGTATTATTGTATTTTACTTAACATGTATCCATTTTACTTATTATGTTTTAATTCTGAAGGAGCTAAATGCTGCTTCAAATAATTGTCCAAACTACCTGGAATATTATATTAATATAAAAATACTAAATTAATTCCTTCCTTACATAACTAAATATTTTAAAGATAATCATGTAACCAGCTTATTCACTCACTCACTCGCTCACTTATTAAACATTTTTAATTATATAATTAATTGCACTCAGTAGAGTTTAAACCTCTACAAAGGCCCAGTAGTCCTCTTATGAAACCTCATTTAAATTCACTAGATACAGATTTTTATGTGGATCTGCACCAAATTGCACACACGCAGAAATATCATTCATCTAAAAATGTCAGATTTTTCTTTTCTTTCAAGATCCATATAAGAAATCAACACTGTCTTAAACAAAGTGAAAATCCACCCCCTGATCCAGATTCGCACCAAAATTAAATGGGTTCTTCCCTGCTTTTGTGTAATGTTACAAAGAAAAGAACAACAAACAAATGGACAGGTGTGAAAGCCTGAACTTCCTGACGGAGGTAATAATACCACAGTCAGCCTGAAAAAGCCTATCATGTGTAATTTGTCACTGTGGAATAAACACTTTGCTATTAATTAATGGTATTAATTGTGTACTTTTCTTGCTGTAAATCTCAGATAATGGGTGAGGGTCAGGGTCGAAAAAAGTTCTTGGATAATAAATCAATAAAAGTAAAAAATACATTGACCAACAACCCTCTTACTGTCAGAGTTTTGACACAATTAACATGGAGTCGTCAAATATGGTGTGTTGTTGAATATGTAGATATTATTATATCATTCACCTGAACAGTAACTGAGTGACTCTGCACTCTTCAGCCTGATCCTCACTGATGCCCTGCAGTCTGTGAGTTGCCCCAGCACTTTTATTTATTGGAGCCGTTGGCAGAGGTATCTCTCTCTGAGAAAGAATCTCCATTCTCTGTTCCAGCCAGATCAATATCCCATTATAGTGCTTCAGAGGGAAATGGCTTAAAGGAAAGAAAGAGAAATAACCTCGTATATTATGGCAACACTGCTTCTCTGGTCAGAGGTGAAGTTAGGGTGAATTAGTTGATAATGATAGCTGTTGAATTCAGAGAATATGGGAGGACCAAAACAACAAAGAGAAGATGGACTGTTGATGGCTGAAAGGAAGACCCTCGAACAATCGGACAGTGTGCTGTTTGAAAGAAAAAAAATCTCGGCTTGATATGAGACACTGAGAGAGAAGAGGAGGCTGTCGAGGGTAATGAAGGAAAAATCCATGCAACACATCTCAATGTTTTTATGGGCGTTTTTTAATTGAAACCAGCTTTACTGATAACAAACATGCAGTATCACTGTACAAGCCAACACCACAGATAAGTGTTACTCATTCAAGTCCTGACACATTGTCAAGGATTAGCCAGAGGCACACACACACACACACACTCGCACACACACTTTCAGATGTTGTACAGAGATAAACACGCTCTACCTCTTCTGCTGTTTGACATACACTGACACACACTCACACACACACAGTCATATTTACATATCACAGTGAATGATGGGTAAAAAACGACGCAGGGAGGAGGATTACACTGTTCTCCCGGTCCAACCAGAGATGAGAATGGCAGCACAGTTCCAGTGATAGCGAGTGTGTCTCTGACGGAGGTGGGATAAGGAGTGAGATGATGACAGTGACGATGTGAGTAGAAAACGAGACCTTTTATCAGCGTCCTAAAATCTGTGCGGTACGCAGGCGTCTTGGATGGGCGCCTCTTAGCGTTTAGAGAAACAGGATGAGCCTCCTAATATTAAAGAAAACACATCTGCGTAGAGTAAATCTTTTTTTTTTTTTCTTAAGTCTGTGCTACATTTAAATGCATGGTGTAATTACAGTATCATAAATTCAGGGCTTCATGGTTTCATAAATAGGTTTGGGGTATTGCTTGTATGAAATAACAACTGATATCACTGTCCGCTGACACGCTTTTAGAAATGTAAATCAAAACCAGAACAAACAAACAAAACCAAATAAACAAAAAAAAGGCCACACTACCAAAAAATAAAACTTCAATTCCAATAAATAAATAAATACTTTAAAACATCATACAAAATTCTGACATTACCCTTTTTCCCAACATTTAATGGAAGTTCTGTCTACAAATGTAAGATAATAAATATATTTAGTATTTTTAGTAACAGTTAGGTTTAGGTGGGTTTATTTGGGATATCTCATATCTTTAAGCAAAAACTGGATTATAAACAGTAGGAAAGATCTCTGCAGAAACTCTGTTTAATACTGCTCATATCACAATGGTTACGACACAATAAAATACTGCAAATTATCAAAACTGTACAGAAAAACTTACAAGTTTCTCTAAAATACATTTTCACTGTTAGTGTGTGAGAAGAAGGAGATGGAAGAGAGAGAGAGAGAGCCCCATCTCTGTTCAACCAGCGGAGTCGCGGCCCGTCCTTCAGATGGACTGATGATGCAGCAGCTGCGTGACAGTCACTACACGTTTAAAACCTCTCTCCGCAGGTAGCCGATTGTTCTGCCCTCCGCTGCTCTGGTCTTGAGCAGAGCAGCAAGTTCCCAGGATTCCTCCACCTTGCCCGCGGCCCTCTGTAGCTTTTACTGATGGCTACGACGACTCTACACGGAGCTAGACACAGTCTGGTATGAGAGAAGACGGCAACAGGGCGAGCCAGCTCACACGTGTCTACTGGATGTCTACTGAGTTCCTCTGGCACAGCACAGTCTTCTACCCCAGTTCATATTTTAAAAATAGTAGACTTTTTTTTCTTCTTTTCTGTGTCGTGTGTGGTTTTTTAAAACATATTTCTTAGATATTCCTCAAGCTAATCTACGTCACGGTTACAGGTGTGAGTGTTAGTGGCTCGCCACCGAGCTGGGTGAGGGCAGTGCCACCCTGGTTGTGTGTGTGTACAGTAGGCTATGTGTGTGTTTTCAGTGTGGAAAAGGGCAGGGGTGGGCCGGCAGGTCAGCGGTGGCGGTAGTGTCTCATGAGGGGGACGATGCAGGAAGGAGGACCCGATAGCTTGAGGAAGGGGTGCTGGAGGAGCTCCTGGGCTGTGGCTCTCTGAGACGGCTCCCTCACCAGCATCAGGTCTAGGAAGGATCGCAGCACCGAGGACACCTGGAGGATTGAAATAAATACTTCAACTCTGGTCCTTTATCTCTTGAAAGATATAGGAACTTACAGTTACTTATATTTTTTTATGTATCGACAGATCTACCTTGTGTGATTCTTTTAGCCGAGGAGGCAGGTTGTCTCGTATCCTCCTCATGGCCTGCAGAGGGGGCTCATTGAAGTAAGGGGGCTCTCCATCCACCATCTCAATCACCATGATGCCTAAAGACCAAATATCCACCTGGACACACACCAAAGATTTGTTCTTGTCAGTGCAGTAAATGCTCCTGTACAGTACTGCGTTTCTTTAGCCTCTTTACAATCCAGCTCACTGATACTGTCAATGAAGATGGACACATCAACACTTTCACCCACAAGCAAGTTCAATTTCATTTGACACATTATCTCAAGGCAGTTTACTAAGTAAGGTAGAGACCTTACAATATTATAGAAAAACTCAAACAGTTCCCACAATGAGTGAGAAATGACACCAAAATATCCCGGTTACAAACTTTGCCATCTCGCACAGTGGCCATCATGGTATGGAGCCATGGTTGCAAGGTCCCACCGATTCATGCTCTCGACCAATAGTGAGTCAGTCTCAGCAGACAGTCATGACGTTTCACCACATTTTTATAGCATCATATAACGAATTCAACCACAAAAGAGAGCACTTGAACAAACATTAGAATGATGAGAACCACCAAAAGTGACAGAATCCATCTTGTTTTAAGTTTTGTTCACTATAATTTGGTCCATGTCCTATCCACTAACATGTAGGATGCTTTGGCTTCACTTTTGTACAGCGGTTGTGTCGTCTATCTTTATATACATTTTATGCATTCAACACATAGCAATGTTAGCCAGTGTGTGTGTGTGTGCGTGTGTGTGTAAAAAGTCCTCACCTCTGTCCCATAAGGTAGTCTAGAGATGACCTCTGGTGCCATCCAGTACGGCGTGCCCACGAGGGACTTCCTCTTGGGCACCTCTTTGGAAACTTGGGCACAAAAGCCGAAGTCTGATAACTTGATCTGAAAACACACACGCAGCAGAGACTGTATTAGTTCAGAACCTCAGTGTCTGAAGTCAAGAAGCGCACTGACCCATTGTGATGAAGAGCTCTCATAGAAGACACTAATCCCTGTATTAGTGGTTAATTATCCTTCAATTAATCATGTCTTATCAGCTCGTTCGGAGGCATTAGGCAGGATTTAATTACTAGGGCATGAGTGGTAATTGATGATGATGAGTTTCTGGCACTGGCTGTTGACAAGTAGCGGGAGTGACACCCATGAGAAGGTCAGTGAGTGTGTGAGAGAGTGTGTCGACATCGCCACTGACAGGAACAATGGTGATGGTTACTAAAACCTAAGGTATGAGTTTAAGTGAGTATCTTCAAGTTTATTAACAAACCAAAGACACACACACAATCATCATATGCACTTACTCTGCCATCGCTGGTCAGGAGAATGGAGTCGCTCTTGATGTCGCGGTGAATGACGCCCTGTGTGTGCAGGTAGGACAGAGCCCTCAGCACCGACAGACACACTGTAGCAATCTGCTCCTCGTTCATCCTGTGAGGACACACACACACACACACACACACACACACACA